CGGGTCCTGCGGGCCCGCGGCGCGTCTCGCGCGGTCGGGACCCAGCCGGCGGCCGGGAAGCGTGTGCGGGGACTGGGCTGGGTGTTGTCCCCGACATTCACGCGGTCCTCGTGACGGAAGAGAACGTGATTTTTAAAAGCCCTGGTCTGCAGCTCATTATAAATGAACACAACTTTTCTAGTGACGGATCGGGCGAGCAAAAAGTAGACCTTATAAGTTGCAAAAAGCCTTGTGAAGCCAAAAACGGCTGTGTGTTAGACGGATAGGTAAGTCATGTTTGGGTTTGCTTTCCCCTCCCCCCCTTCGGCTCACAATCTACTTGTTGTACCTGAGTTTTAGAAAGAACGACGAAATTTTAACTCCGTAAGCACGATGGTCGTTGGCAAAACTGCCAGCTGCTCACTATTTTCCTGTTGCCAATGAGACAAAGCCTGTGTATCTAAACCCAGACGTAGTTTAGCAGGGGCTAGCTGAATGCTATGGAAAAGTTTCTTTCTGAAGTTTGCCAGGAAACAGTCACTTTGCAGAAGAGTCAATGACTAGAAATTGCCAAGAGACCTTACCCTACGCCCCCCCTCCCCAAGTCTGCCCAGTGAGGCAATTTCATTAGGCAATTCCCAGTAGGTGGGGTGAATTTCAGGGGAAGCTAGTCCATCCCTGTAGATATCCTGGTAGACGTGTATTGCGGAGGACAAGATCAAACACGTAGCTGAAGAATCCTTTGTGCTTGAATTTCAGATTCCAGTAGGAAGATGACAGGTACACGCACATCACCTGCCTGCTTAGCTATTTATTACTGCTGAGTAAATCTTCATTGTGTCTCTGTGGGGAGTATTTTCTAAGTGGGAATTAGAGCAGATGGAAAAGCAATTCTGTTTCTAGCGTTTTGTTTTTTTTCAAAGTACCAAATATGCTCCTCTTTAGGGGTGTTTTTCTTTTTTATTCTAGATGAGTATCTCTGAGCACAGACCTATTAACTAAAAGTATAAAAAAAGGAAACAAAGTAATTGTGGATTTTTAAAAAATTATTAAAAAAAAAAAAAGTTTTTGGCCACAAAACATAAAGAGCAGACGCGTTTTGTTTGATTTGTTTGGCATTCTTTCGAGGCCAGAGTTGTGCCCAGTCTCAACAGGTTAAATGCAGTAAATAAAAATGAAGAAATTCTACGAAATGGAAAGCTACTGAAAAGTCTGAATTACAAAGAATTTTTAAAGAAAAGCAATGTTGCTTTCTGTAGAACACCAGCCTACGCAGAGTACACCCGCCCTCGGAAGCAGATAGTTATGAATTGAAATACAATTTGATATTTGTGAAAGAGTTCTTTAACATTTTCCTTAAGATACAGATTTTTTAAGTGTAGCCTCTGTTAATCTTATTTCCATGCCTTTGCTGGACAAACTCTTTTATCAGAGAGTAAGAGTAACTTTCAGGTTTTTCCTTGTCCAAGTTATAACCTTCATGTTTATGAAAGATGAAGATTGATTTTTATGCTGTTTAAGCGGCTACTTTACATTCAGTTCAGCTCCTAGATTAACCTGGCTGCCTTTAAAGGAGCTTCTCCCCCAGCAACTTCTCTCCTGTGTTAAGTTTAGGGTTTTGAAATGATAAATTATGATGGAAGGACTTAAGAGAAACCAAACTCTCTGCTCATTCATATCCGAATGCTACAAGGAAAATAAATTGAATAAAGAGATGACCTGAAGTACAAATTGATGAGGTATAGAAAAGGTTTGAAGTACACCAAAATTTCCCTTTCATTTTTAAGGTTTTGCCAAATGACATTTACCTAAACTCCTGTTCCTGAAGAGTCTAATAATGACATTTCAGTGTCCTCTCCCTTTTTTTTAAAATGGAAAATGAAGGAAATTGAGAGCCAACTAGTTGACATGACTTGACCATCGCTATTTAGTCAGGATTGCTATACCTCATCAATTTGTACTTCAGTTTATCTGTAAACTGGGGTGATTGTTCCCTGCCCAGAAACCTCACACAATGGTGAGGGCCAGTAAAATTCTAGAGTGAAAGAAAGCATAAGAGCAAAAGTGTTAAGGGGATGCAGATGATTTAATTAGAATTTGGGACAAGGAATGGAAGTTTCCTGGGAAGACATTTTGGTACTTTCCTTAACACTGTTGACGTAGGGGTGGTTCCCTTTTGTATCTCTGAGCTTCTTCAGGGACTAATGAGGCATCGAAACAGAAGACAAGTTAGAGAAAGGTCATTCTTAACCACGATAGGGAGGCAGGCAGGATTTTGTGAGTGCTGGGAATCCTCAAAGTAGCTGAGATCTCTTTGCCTCTAACATAGTGCTGGGAGAACAAGATTGTAGGATTCAAACAGACACAGCCTTAAAACCTGATTTATTTACTAATTGTGAGACCTTGGGCAACACGTTTAACTTCATGCACCTTAGTTTTCTCATCCTTAAAATGAGGATAACAAACGTGCTTTCCTGTGGTTCTCATCACCCTGATCTCAGCTCCACTGTCATCTTCTAGAGTGGCCTTCCCTAACCTTTTTATCTGAAATGACTCCTCCCCAGCCCCTATCACCTGACATTGCTTTATTCTTCGCCCGTCCTAGAGTCTGAAATTCTTTTACTTTTTCTGTTCGCTGGTTTAGTGTGTTTCTATCTTAGTACTGTAAGTTCTTTGAGGATAGGCAGCTTCTCTGACATTTACTGTGCTATAAGCATTTGTGTGCTCAGTAAATAATTGTTGGTGAACAATTAGGATTGCTGTGAGAATTAAATGAGAAAACCTAAGTCAATTGTACCCGACACACAACCAATTTTAAAAAGTAATGATCACCTAACAACTACATAGATTGTACTTAACTGTTAGGCACTATTTTGCAAATGCCAAACTAACTCATTTCGCCTCTGCTTAATCCTTTGAGGTAGAATCCTATCAGGCACCCCATTTTATAAACCAAGTCACAGAGAGTAACTTGCCCAAGATCACGCAGCTGGTAAGGGGCAGAGCTAGGATTCAAAGCTGGGCTTGAAACCAAACTCTTACTAAGTTTTGTTACCTTTGAAAAAGGTAGTAATGTTGAAAATCTCATTTTGGGTGTAAAGGAGTGGTTAGAACAGGGGGCACTGCTTAACCTAAGCAGACCTGAATCTTTGCCCTTTCCTCTGATTTGGGGAAAATGAAAATGCAATTGGTGTCAAGGGCAGGGAGTCGTATTTTCTTGAAGTGAGCTGGCCCGCAAGTCCAAGCCCGCTCCCCGGTGTGCGGGGAGCAGCCAGCATCCTCCAAGGCCGGCCAGGTCCCCGCCCGCCGGCCCGAAGCTCACAGGCCTCCTCCCGCTGCTGGGCCGCCGCGTGGCTGAGCCGCGCCCGGACCCTGGGAAAAAAGTTTCCAAACGCCGCTGCTCGGCGCTGATTGGCTGAAGTGGACGCGGTCTCGTGGCACAGCAGCCAATGAGCGGCGCGGTCAGCGAGCACCAGGGCGGGGGCGGGGGCCCGAAGTCCCGGCCCCGCCGTCCTCAGTAGCCGCCGCCGCTGCAGCCGCCGCCCGTCCTCGTCGCCTTAGCCGGGGTAAGTGCGGAGCTGGAGCCGCCGCCGGGGCTGAGGGCGCCCCGGGAGCTCCACCGCCGCTGGGAAACTCTTCTGCCCCGCCCGGCCCCCAGATGCGCTCTCCGGACCCCCGCCCGCTGCCGCGTTGGACCCTCCGGCTCCCCTCGCTTGCGCGTCGCTTCCCGGCCGCTGGGCTCGAAATTCCCGCTTCCCTGGAGCCTCTCTTTCTAACTTTGCGCCTTCCCACCCTTGTGTCTTCGAGCCGGGCTCCTCGCCTTTGCCAACTTTCTTTTTCTTGCTGCCCTCTTCTCCTTCCTTGACTTCCTCAGTCCTTCTGCCCTCCTCGTCCCCGGCCCTCGCAGCCGCGCTTCTCTGCGCTCCTGCTCCCTCCCACCCCAAACTCTCCTCCTGGACTCCCCGAGCCTGTGTTCTGTCCGTCTTCAGTCCCCCCCTTTCCTCCTGCTGCTCCCGTCTCCCCGTCATGCCTCCTAGCCCTCCTAGCCCAATTCCCCACCCTGCTTCCACCCTCATTGCGGGCCTCTTTCCAAAAACCTCCTTTCTCCACCTCCCTCCCTTCGGGGAACATGTTTGGAACCGTCTCCTTCTCTCCGCGTTTCTCAAGTCTCTGCTGCAGGACGGTTCAGATTTCCTCTGACAGCACTTTGGGGACGGATTGGATAAAGGATGAAAACGCTTATTCTACAACTTGAATGCAGTGGCTGGGCTTACCTACCTCGCTGAGGTCATGGGAAACCCCGCGACCCCCTTGACACCGCTTTTGGGGAAGCTGCATTATCTTCTCCAGCCATCTCAGGTTCTCTGCCTCGTGAGGGTCTGAACTTCCCTGACTTATTTGTCCAGGGTTTGTACCAGCTTGTGCCTTTTCTCCTTTTAGCCCGAGGCCCCATTTAACTTCCTTTATAATAAAGAAATGGCCTTTGCGGCGTGCGCTGGGCAGATACTTGTCGTTTTCTGTGCTGGTTTTGTTTGTGTATTCTAGGATAGGATGGCATTTTAGGACTCGGGTAGGGTGCTTTGAAGAGGGATTGAATCCCAGCGACTCCCAGAGACACCTTGGTATCTGACACCACCCAAACACACACACTGGCATTTAATCAGTTTTGAAGCTTAAATCTTTCCTCTTAGTGTATTTTTTGTTTAGAATTAGATTCAGGTGATCTATGCGGTTGAAGTCTCAGGGACCTCTGGTTGGTATATTTTATCCCGTTTTGGATAAGCGTGTTCTTTTGCCTTAAGACACGTGAGCCAGAGAAATTACACTCCCTTTCCTTACAAGGTAATTTCCTAACGAGCACACCTGTGTACAGAAAGTTGCGTCAGCTACTAGTACTGTGTTCGCATCTAGTATTGATGTAGGTGCTTTGTATCTGCCTCTCCCAGCTGTGCCTGGCACTTAGTAGGTATTCAGAAATGTTTGAAAAGGGGTAGAGGAGGGAGAAACCACAGTAGGAAAAGCTCTTTCCCTGGCATTTGGTTCATTAGAATAAAATTGACCCTGAACAATAGCTATTCTATTTTTTTATTCTGGTTAAAATTTCAAAAGCAATATATGCTTAGTGTGAAAGTCAGTGTGTATAGTAGTGTATCAGGTTCCAGTTCACATCTCAGTGCCTGCTTTACCTGAATTTTGGTACTTTCTTCCACACCCTTTGTATGCAAAGAGAGAAGATAGATGTATAAACAACAATGGCATCCTTTCTTAACAAATCATGAACTTTCTTGTATTTTAGCACAAAAATTCTTAACTGCATAGTTTTACAATCAGTCCTGTTGACAGTTAAATTTCTCCAGTTTCCACATCACTGAATGATGATGTACAGCCTTGAGCATATGTCCTTGCGTGCCTATTTTTTAGGTAGATCATTATAGACTTTGAAAGCACAAAACAAAAGCCAGACTTGCTGCCTCTTGACTGATCTTGTCCCAATGATGTCACTTCTGCAAAGTGTGAAGCCTGCTTCATAACATAGAAGCTGTTGGAGCACGTGCTGGCATTTGGCAACTTCTATCCCTTTCCCTTCAGCTCTTCCATTTGTTTTGATTGGGAAGGATTGGGGTTAGGGTGGAGAAGGGTGGTGAGTTAATTCCTGATGGTTTATAGGTGTGTATTGCTCCTGACCAGCATGTGCTGGCTTTCTTCACTCAGAGGGAAGCCAAGAGAGATTGCTTTGTTTTTTCCTAGTTTTGAAATCAAAGGCATGTGTCTCAAGTGTGTTTTCAGACTTCTGTTAAGTTTAATCATGGAAAACACACCCCAAAAAAAGAAAAAGGGGAAAAAAAAGCTTGGTGAAACACATTTTCGTGGGAATAGTAGATTTCAGTTATAGAAAATAGACACTTTTTGAACCACTTGTCTCAGTTCTTCCTTGCATGCTGTAGAATATACAGTTGAGATGCCCATTAGATTTGTCCACGATGCTGGGGCATGATGACATGATGGTGTATTGAGAACACGAGTTAGGAGACTGAATGCCTGTAGCACAGATGAAATAAATGCAAGCAATATTCATTTTTAAGATAGTGGGTACAAAGTTGTGTCTATTGTTACCAAGAGTTAATACCTTCCTGTCATAGTGCCTTTTAAAAGACTGGGCCAAATGAAATGAGTGAATTTGACCTCTAATCAGTCTGTTTGCAGCCCAGGGGACCTTGTACTTGAATTTAAAGACAACCCCCACCTCCACCCCACTGGGTCTGGTTTCCAGTGTTTCTGCTCCAGCTTCTAAGAAACCAAGTGATTGTCATGCTTATTCTTACACCTGAGTGTCTTAAAGGGGATAAAGTTGTTTGAAACTTATTAAATGCCCAGCACACAGCAAACAGAAGGTGATGTTAAAATTCAGTAGATAATGCTGGAAGAAGAACCTTTGCAAGTCAGCTTATCTGCTTTCTGTGGCAGAGAACAGTGCACATTAGAACTTTGAGACATTTTCACATGGCAAAGGAAACTTACGTTTTTAAGATTGCGGTTTCAAAACATAGTGAATTCAGCTGTTACTGCTTCCCTCTTAGCCTGTAGTATATTTTTTCTCTTCCCTAAGAATTATTTTTAAAGTGCAGAGATTTTTGGTTGAAATGCCAGGCCGGTGTTTTTTGCCCTTGAGTTGAAGGAGTCAGAGATTGTGCAAGCTGTCACGTAAGCTTAGGTCTCTGCTTAGTTTCTCCCCAGTACCTGAAGTCCAAAACCAGATCCTTCCCATCAGCATGGTTGTAATTAGATCCCCTACCACAATGGAAGCACCCCCTAAAACATCACAAATTTCTTTCCTGGGGATTTAGTTTTAAGTCTCACTGGCAATGACAGCTATGTTTTAGGAAGCCCTTTTCTAAAACGCATCTATCACAAGTGCAGAATGAAGGTTATTAAACTCCAATAACTATATCATATCAGATATTCCTTGTATAAACCTGAAGAGGGGGTAGTTTTAAACATGGCATCCTCTCCTTCAGCCCCTTGCCATTAAGGAGATGCCACTCAGGTGCTGAAGGAGAGATTTTCCTCATCCTAATAAGCATCTTAGGGATTTACAGATGTGAATTATAAACTAGCCTTCAGAGGTCTCTTGCTTCTAGAAGCCTTTTCTTAACCTCATACCTGCATCCAGCTAGTGGCAAATCTCTATCTTCTCCTATGTGCATTCATTCCACAAGCATTTACATAATGCCTGTTACATGCCAGGCACTGTTCTAGGCATTGGGAATATAAAAGAGAAGGTACCTATGTTCAACAACTGACATTCCAGTGAGGGAAGATAAAAACAAAACTCAAAGTGATAACACAAAGGAGGGGTTAATATGATAGTGAAGGGTTGTAGGGAGTACTTGGTGATATTCAAATAAGGTCTCTTTGGGGAAGACATTTTAGCTGACATCTAAATGTCAAGAAAGAAACCTGCTGAGAAGAGATCTGAAGGAAAAGCATTCCAGGCAGTGAGAACAAGTGCAAAGGCCCTGAGGTAGGGCAAGCTTAGTGTGTTCAAGGGACAGAAAGAAGGCAGCATAGTTGGAGCATAAGCAGGTGAGGGGAGGAGGGTGGGAAATATTTAGAGAAATAGGCAGGGACTAATTATTTGAACTTTGTGCATCTTTTTCCAAACAGCAGGAAAAGTCAGCATACATTCATTGTTCCTAGTTCCTCACTTTCTCACCCTGCTGTATGCAGACTTCTCATGCCATGCATTTGTCCTTAATAAGATCATTAATGGCCACACAGTGCTCAGTTACAGTTGCCTGGGCACTGTGCTCTGGACACTATAGACATTGGTTTGGTGACTGCATATTAGTTGCAATCTGGGATCATTAGAGTTTATGGCTTGAGCAGGGAGTACCACACCCAGGTTTACCCTTACCTGTTACCATGCTAATTACTGTTATTTACACTGTAGGCACTCCATTCTTTTTTACTTTCAGCAAATAAGATCTATCACTCCATATATTAATGAGAACTCTCCTGTGACAGAAATCCAACCCTAACTGGTACAACCAAAAAAGGGAGTTGATTATCCCTCATAATCATAAATCAGGTATAGCTGGATCCAGGTGCTCAAACAATATCAACACCCAATCCCTCTACCTCTTGTCCCTGCTTTCCTATGCTTTGGCTTCATTTTCAGGCTGTCTCTTCTCCTGTGATAGAATGATCACTGGCACTACAGGCTTACCTCCTACCATTTAACAAACCCTAGTGGAAAAAGAGAATTCATTTCTTTCTCTCCCCTCACCCCAGCTTTATGGTTATAATGGACAAACAGTGTTGTGTAAGTTTAAGGTGTACCACATGATGGTTTTATGCATTTATATTTTGCAAAATGATTATCATAATAAGTTAAATAACACTTCCAGAGAGTTTATTCTTGATAGTTCTGCAAAAGGCCTGGGTCTGGACACTTACTGACTTAGCTTGAGTTAGGCCTATTATTTGCTCAGCTTGAGTTAAGTCCACCCCTCAGCCAGTGATTTGTTCAGCTTTCGTGAGGCTGATCCCTGTCATTGGCTCAGCGTTGGTTAGGCCCACCCCTGAGCCAGCTACTGGTGCTGGAGGCACAAGTAGGCATGTGCCTTCTCCCAGGTGCAGAAGATGTCAAGTTCATCTGAACCACATGGAATGAGTATAGGATCAGTTTCTCCAAGGGAATATTGATTGGGATGCTGTTATAGAAAGATGGAAGAAGGAATGCTGGACTGGAAAAAAATCAACAAATTAACAGCTTTCTACTGCATTCGGCTTCTCTGTTTAGGTCAAGTTTTCAGAGAGATTGTTCTCCGGAAGGTAGGTGGGAGGGCACATGGCATGCTTTCTCTGAATTAGGAAAGGGAGAGGAATTAGGAGGGAGAGAAGATGTGCATACAGATATTAGGAAATGTAGAGTTATCAATAAGTGCTATGTTCGAATATAGGCATTATTCAATTTCTACCAGAGATCCAGAAGTTGGTGATTGTGTCCATGTCAACCCTAACATATTTGGCCAAATAATGATTTGTACTTTTAGCCCAAAGTACAGCATGTTGGTTATGTCTTGCAAAGTGAGGGATTACGTTCATTCTGTTCATTCTTTTGTCTCCAAGGACACATGCTGTAGACTGTGAGCTCCCTTGAAGGAAGGAAGGGACAATGGAGGCATGTAATTTGGAGTCCTAATGACCTTTTGACAAGCTCAGAGCCTTTAATAAATTCATAAATTAAGCGCTTACATCCAGAGGCTCAGTCAGCAGGGAGTCCATAAACTGACAACTGTTATTAGAGTATGTTTCCTGACCTCTGCTCTGAATATCTCCAAGCCAAAGCCATCCCCCACTCTCCAGGAGCTGCTGTCTAATTTGTCTCCTTATCACACCCACTTCTCCAAAACACCATGGACTTCCTCTTCCTCACCTCCCACGTACTCCTCCACCCAGCTGATTTCTCCTCCCTCCTCCGCTGTGTCAAAACTGTTCTTGCTCACATTACCAGTGACCAACATTTTGCTAAGTCTGGTGGATGTTTTCCAATCCTTATCTTACCAGTTTCTTTGTTGCATCATGGATACTGTGGAATGTTCCCCTTTCCCCCCTCCTTGAAACCATTTACTCCAGAATAGCTCACTCTTCCTGATTCTCATCACTTTCTGTTTCTCCTCTGTCTCCTCCGATTACTGTTTCTTTCCTTGTCCGCTTTCAAACACTGGCATTCCTCAGATTCTGAATAGTTCTCATTAGATTCTCCAGTGGTTACCTTACAAGAAAAAGGGAAGAATCAGTCACAAACTCATGACTTTTTTTTAATTTTAATTTTTATTGTTGAAAGTATTATAGATGTCCTCTTTTTTCCCCCATTGACCCCTTCTACCGGGCACCCCCACCCCACCTCAGGCCTTCACCACACTATTGTCTGTGTCTATGGGTCATGCATACATGCAAACTCATGACTTTTAAATTTGTATCGTTAGCCCCGATTTTACCCAAGTTTCAGATTCAGTGTCGCATCTAGATGTGTCATGGGCATGTCAAGCTAATAATGTCCCAAACTGGGTTCATTAGCCCCTCGCCCTAAAGACTTTCCTTCTGATATTCTGTATCTCTGGTGGTGGGGATGGTAGTGTACCAAGTTGTGTGAGCTGGAACTCCAGGTGATGTCCTTGCCTCCATATTTTCCTTATTTCTCCTTTTCCCAGTGTGATAAATGAGCAGATCCTGATAGTTTTATCTGCCCATGGAATGAAGCATGCAGGTGGGCTGTATTTTGTCTGCGTTTAGTTTTAGTGAATTGCTAATGTTTATTTAATCCAATGTAAAGTTCAGGAATGCTTTTCCCCCATTAAAGGTGTTTAATCAGGGTAATAATTTTAAAACTTTCTCTCCTAGACACCATGCCACAAGAAGAGTGACCTCTTCTCCCATTTTCGCAATGGAGGACTCTGGAAAGACTTTCAGCTCTGAGGAAGAAGCAGCTAACTATTGGAAAGATCTGGCTATGACCTACAAACAAAGGTCGGTTCTCCAAAGTCCACCCTGCTTTTTCTTCCTATAATGGTGGCAGCAGTCATTTTCTGGGGCATATTATATGAGAAGCACTATGAAGGCTTAACACACATTATCTCAGTTAAATCTCAAAACTGCCCCATGAAAAAACCATTATCACCCCATTTTACAAATGAGGAAACTGATCCTTAATGAAGGCAAGTAACTTCCCAGGTCACACAGCCACTAAGTAGCAGAGCTAGAGTTTGAACTCTAAGGCCCATGGTCCTAAGCAAACTACTACTACCCATCTTATTTTCTGGCAGGGTTTTATCAGATCCCATGTGCTATATCTGGTCAGTGCTTCGTGTGTGGGGAAAGAACTCTCTGTACCTAGGAAAATTTTAAAATCTGAAACCAGTATTTCAGTGCCCATATCTGGGGG